TTCATTGACCTCATTAACATCATTTAACTAATTATGTTAATTTTATTACGTGAGCTGATGGTGGCATTTAATGAATACATGGAATAGCTGGGGTGCCCCTGGGGAGAGTTTTGGGAACTGAAGTGATGTCATCCATCTAGTCATCCAAAAAGATATCAGTAACTCTTTGGAGAACAGAAGAAAATCTTGTTGTGTCTTTTTTATGTATTATTGTTCATTTACATATATTCTAATGATAACAGGTAAATATCTACAAATCTAGCAGATAAATATCTTTAAACATTTTCTTTGACCTTTGAGCCTAACATGGGCGTCTGATACTTGAAGGTCTTCTATCAAAACTGAAGAGTTTCCCTTCAAACAGTGTTTAGGTCAAGTCAAGTGGTCAAGTGGCTTTTCATTGTCATTTCAACCATATACAGTAATACAGTACATAGTGAAACGGGTCCTCAGGGGAGCTGAGCTGTAAAGGGGGAGAAAGTTAAGATGATTCCATGGGCCCCTGAGTGATTGGGGCCCTAAACAATTTGGAACATACTTAGATTGATCTGGGTTGGGGGCCCAGTGTGATAGGCTTTCATGGGGCCTAAAATCTCTGGCAGCACTCCTGGGTGACCTGGGAGATCATGTAGCCTGAGCAGAACCAGAGCAGAAAAGCTACAGTCCTGTGAAGATCAGTGTTGAAAGGTGTGGTGCTACTGCACCCTCAAGCAGGAAATGGCTCACGAGAGGCGCTTTGTACTGCAGGCACCAGGAGAGGAACGCCTCAGTTTCCTCCTGGACACCTTTGGAGTGGAGATATCTGTCCTTGAGGGGGTCCCACCCTGCATGAAATTGCCTGTGTGTATCACCTGCTACTGGATGTCCAATTGCAGGCCAAAACCCGAGCTGCTGCACCTGCAAGCGCTACTGTTGGGGATGGTGTATGGAAAACTCATACAGGATGGTATTAAATAATAATAATAATACTAATAACTGCAATAATAATAATAATAATAATAATAATAATACAGGGCCATTCAAATGATGGTGTTCTAGGGGTAAATCAGGAGCAAATTTATGGGATTTGAATGCCAAACCTTTTGATGTATGACTGCATTTTCACCCTAAATTAACACAGAATCTGATGAAGCAGTAAGAGAAAAGTTGGTCAGAAAGCAAAGTAGTATGCGGATCAACTGGGAGCAATGGGGGCCAAACTGGACAGCGACCCACCTCTACAACCAGTGGCAGTCCTGTATGAGGAGCAGCTTCCATCTCAACCAGCTGCTGCGCTGTCCTCTGCCCAAGCCTACGTGTTCCCAGTTCAGTACCTTCATCTTATCTCTGTCCCTCTCACCCTCCTTACCGAGGGCCAAAAATCAATGGCCTTTCATTTTCCTTCTGTATCCAACCCAGTGTCATCAGGATGAGCTTTTCTGCATCACAATCAGAAACCAATACTGTGTATTAATTCTAGACCTCATGACATAATTTCCTGACATCAGTCTGCTCGCTGTGGGGTGAGGGCTTGGTTGTGGGATCTGTCTCACACACGTTGTTGCTCCTGGATCACAGGCTGTACAGCGGGACGCTGGTGCATGGGGTGGTGAGGCGGCTGAGTGAAGGACAGATGCCAGAGTCACTGCTGGAGGGACTGCCTTCACTTGAGAAGTTCTTCAGTGACCTGCAGGGGGCAGTGCTGAGTAATGAGAAGACGACAAGAAAACGGGGCCGAGGGCAGCAGCAACCCGAAGGAGGACCTGCAAACCCTGTGACACACAGTGACACGACTTTACAGAGATCCCACTATCCTGAAGTGGATACGAAGAAGAGAAGGAAATAGGGCCAAGACATTGCAAACATCTGTCTAGGCGGTTGTGGAATTGCTGAGGTGGATGAGGAAGAAAGCCAACAGTGGTCTAAGAAGTATTAGAGGTGCATAAAGACACAACCAGGGCTGTAATTTGTGTGCATTCCTGTATTCAGATTTTTAACTCGTTTTTTTTTATCTGATAGGATTCAGACAATATGCCAAGAAATTAGTTAATGCTACAGTAATAATCTATTTTAACCAACATGTGACGGTCTCTTATTTAGTTTTTTTGCTGTTTTTTCTGCTATGCCCCTTACATTCAGTCTGGTCTGGCTTCCTAATTGCATGAATAATCTGACCAATTCTACCTGGATTGGCTTCACTGGGATTTACTCCTGCCTGGCACAACACTGCCCCCTAGTAGCTGACAGGAATATTTTCCTCCCAGTAGTATGAATGTTGGCCAGACCGGATCCTGTCTTATTTTGACACATTTTTCAAGGGCATTAAAACACTGATATTCCCTTAGAAACAGGATTTAAAAGAACATCCTCTGTGGTCTAACAAAAGGACAGAAACCCCCTCCCAGGATAATCAGTAAAATGCTGAGTCATTGTTACCTGAAAAATGAAACTTTAATCCTAGGTTAGTCTCATGACCCACAAAGACACTAGATGGGTCCAACACAAGTCAGACTGACAAATCCAGCACATCACGTTTTTCTATTGAGGTCATGCAGATAGAGGTCATTACAAAGTTTACCAAAAGGGGGCGCTGTGATGGCAGTGTGACTGGCAGACGTTGCTGCTGCTGGTTCACATGTTTGACCCACACTCTTCTCAGCTTCCTCATTCAGTTATCAGCTTCTCACCCCCTCCCCTCCCCAGATCTTAGGATGAAGACATCGCTGAAAGAAACTGTCATTTCTGTAATTCATTTAACCGAAATTCTTCATTAATCACATGAAATAAGCTTAACATTTACACATTTTTGTTTATTATTCAGCAGATGCTTTTGTCCAAAGTTACATATAAGTGAGGCAAGTAGCACATCAGCTGCAATACTTCAGGCCCTGAACACTGTGCCAAACACCACAATAGTGTGCTGGCCTGTGACAGGCCCTGCTAAACATGAGCGCTGTTACTATACACACATGTACAATTAACACGAAAAGATCCAATTTTTCTTTTACTTTTTTAGTTTGTTGTCATTCTTTAGGGATTTTCTTTGTTTTTAATCTCTTGTCCTCTGGCCTTTTTCTTTTTCGAGCCATAATTCATATGTCCTTGTACAGCACATCTAAGATCTGAGCACCTTCTTCATATGTGCCATGGAATAATTGTAAGTTTCACATCTTGGGGCAATTTCCTGCTTGTATAATCATGCATTCAATAAACTATATTAACATTTGAATGTTTGACAGTTCATCTTGTCTGCTTGTTATATGCACTAACAGCACAGTGGTCATGAGGAAGTGCACTGGTGGTGAGGGAGGTGTGATGTCTTCCTATTAGACTGGGCAGCACCATATAAGGAAACAAAACGCCACCCTTCTCAGCGAACTAGTTGCTAAACCGCTGTTGCAAATGTGACACTGTGCTAACACTAAAGCCTGAGAATACTCTCAAGAGGCAGCATGAAGGAGAGGCAGACTTTGCCCGATCCTCCATGTTGAGAAATTTCTGAGAGCAGGGACCTTGAAAGCCTAACGCCAACCTGCTGGAAGATGTCATCAGCTGTGTCGGACCTGGAGGCTGAGCTTAAGTGTGCCATCTGCCTGAGCATCTATAGGCAGCCCGTCCAGCTGGGCTGTGGACACAACCTCTGTGGCTGCTGCCTGGAACGCTTGCGGGGGGGACGGGACAGCTATTCCTGCCCCGAGTGCCGGGCCGTCTTCTCCTGCCGCCTGGCTCCGCAGAGGAATCTCAAGCTGGCCAACATTGTGGAATGCTTCTGTGCCTCAAGGATGTCCACGCAGTCCACAGATATCCAGCACGAATGCTTGCTTTTGGAAAAAGGTAGCGATGGCAAGTCAGAAGAGGAGGTTCCACCTACAGTCACGGGGTGCGCAGAACACAAGGAACCCTGGGAATTTTTCTGCTGCCAGCATAAGGTCTGCCTCTGTCGGTCGTGCTGGGAAAAGCACCGTGAGCACAGTTGGCAGCCTCTGGAAAAGGCGGCAGCAGACAGGAGGGCTACGCTGCTAGAGGAAGCTGGGAGGCTGGAGCAGGCCCAGGCCCTGCTGCAGGACACAGTGGACTGGCTCCAGGGTGCACAGGCCCAGCTGAGAGCGGACCGGGCCAGGCTGAGGGAGCAGGTATCAGGACTTTTCACCAGCATCCGGGAAATACTCACAACCGAGGAACATGGAATTCTGGACTCCATTGAGGCCGAAGAGAGAATGGAGGATTCCCGGCTGGCGGACCGTGTGGGAGAGATGAGCAGCAAAAGGGACGCTTCCCAGCAGCTTCTCGCTGAGGCACGAGCGCTGGCCCGAGTGGAGCTGCCGCACTGGCAGTTCATCACCTTGTATCACGAGACCTTGGACAGGCTGCAGAAGGCCGACGTCCACGTGCGGAGCATCACCGTGCAGAAGCGAGAACTGGACAGGCCTTCCGTCAGCCACGTGGGAAAGGAGTCCCAGCTTCTGGTGAGGAGGATTGGCAAGATGATCCGAGACAAGACCGGCCAAAGCCAGGAGCTGCTGCTGAAGTGGAGCCCCTCGGCCAGAACGCCTGCCCCGAGACAGAGGTCACAGACTATCCCGACTCCCGCAGAAGTAAACACGTCCAGGCTGACCCTGGATCCGAACACCGCCCACTGCAACCTGAGCCTGTCTAGCGATCTCCGCTCTGCGGAGTGGGTGGAGCAGAGGCGGCCATGCCCTGCCCACCCTGAGCGATTCAGGCTGCACCCACAGGTCCTCTGCTCCCAGGGATTTACCTCTGGGCAGCACTCCTGGGAGGTGACCCTGACGGGGACACGTCGCTGGGAGGTGGGGGCCACTTGTAAAGGGCCCGGTCCATCCTGGGTAGACTCCTGCATCGCCTGGGCTCTGCGCTGGGATGGCCGGAGGCTGCAGGCATTTGAGGGCAATACACGTCACTCCAGCCCCCTGCTGCACTCCATGCAGCAGGCCCCGGGAAGGATCAGGGTTTGCCTGGACTGTGAGGGAAGCATGCTCTCGTTCTTTGCCATCGCTGATGAATCTGCCCCTGGGAAGGATATTAGGAATCTGCTGCATACATTCCACATTAAAGCGCAAGGTCCAGTCTTCCCGGGATTCTACCTGGAACAGTCCAAGGTGAACATTGTGTAGTGCTGCCTCCTTAGAACTTGGCCGGACGTTGCCACGGTGACGGGAGGGAACATGCTGAGCATCAGCATTGCTCTGGATGGGGTGTCAGAGCAGCAAGTGAAGCTGTGTGACACGGGGCTGGGCCAGCAGTAGGAGAAGTTATCAGAAAAAAGAAAAACTAAATCAGGAAGCCAGCATGGTGAGAGGAAAACAAAACTGAATTGATCTTGGGGCTGGATTTCTTGGGAAGTAACCGAATGACCCAAAGTGGACTGGCATCAACACCAGGGTCTGGGCTACTTCAAGAAAGGTAGAAGAGAAAATACCAATATTTACTAGACTCAGAATGAGGGAATCATTACAGGAATTCCAGGTTATCTGGCTGTCCGTCCTGAGAAGCCCACTGACCCTGTGCTGTCCGTCCCCCAGCTGGGTTATAATGTAGTTAAGAAAAGTAAGTTATTACTAAAGATATTACTAATCAAGGTATTAAAACATCATTCTACTAGCACATAAAGAATGTTATCCTTGTTCAGAAACACAACATCAATTATATACTTGATAATGTTGGTTATACAGTATTTTTTTAAAGCAGATTCATAAAACAAATTATCCCCCCCCCCAAATTAAGAATAAATGATCACACCAATGGTGCTTTTACTTTTCATTGTTTCTTAAAGTTCCGAGAACGTGAGATAGTCATTGAAAAATGGCTTTACTCCACTCCCATGTAAACTGTGGTTTCATACACCAGTTGTGCCTCAGATCAAAACACAGGAAGTAGGTGGGGTGGTTTCAGTTCTGCAGTATGAAAATATCATGAGCTACGAGGAGCCTGCATGCAGGCCAGGTCCCTAATACAGAGTATGTACGGTAAATGTAGACACTTGAATTTATTCTGCATATGCACAGTACTGTGCAAAGGTCTTAGGCGGCTAAAGAAAATAATTTAAATGAATGTCACATTGTTATAAAACAATGCTATTATGCCTGTCATAGTGTGTTAGCTTAGCCCTTTCAAATCCTCTGCTAAAATCACTCCATTATTGGCAGGAACCATCCAACGCACCCATGTACTTTTTGATTCGACCACTAGCACAACTCACATGGCTAATCAATATCTCATTGATTTTTAACTAATTAAATTAATGAATTAAATAAGCTGGTGGTGAAATTTAACAAACACATGGAATGGCTGGGGTGCCCCTGAGGGGAGGTTTGGGAACTGAAGCGGTGTTCATCTAGCCGTCCAACTAGATATCAGTAACTTCTTGGAAGAAAGTCGCACTAGTTTTTATTGTTATTCTTAATTAGCATATATTGATATGTTAAATTGTTTTTTTTTCTAAGGAAATGCTGCGGTACTTCTGCATAGAACTATATGAAAGAGGAAGCATCTCTGCTGTTGAATGATTTGATGTCTCAGTTTCATCAATAATATCAAAAGCACAATCAAGGTTTTGATGCTAGTTTCAGTTCACGTTTCCCTCGGGCAGCTTATCTTCTGAGTTTCCCAACCCTACAACAGTATTTCTCAATCGAGTCCTCCGGGGTCCCCAGACAGTCCACATTTATGCACATTTATCCCATCCAATCAAGAACCTGGTACAGTTTAGGGAGCTGGGAGGGAGCAAAAATGTGGACTGGGTGGGGGGTCCCCGAGGACTGGGTTAGGAAACACTGCTCTGCAAAACTGAACTAGAGTCAGTCAAATACTCTTTGATTCCGACTCAAAGAGCAGAAATGCAGTTTCATACACCCACACTCCACAGTCTTCCTTCTCATATTGATAAAAGACGTGAGGTGACACCAGAGACAGCCATTGCCTCTTAAATTCAGCTGCTTCTTCTACTGACAAAAAACGATTTGTTGTCTGTAGATAACCCATGAGCAGAATGAAACGTCAGTTTCTCTTTGTAGTATCATGACCTGGAATAGCATCTTCTTATGCTCTATGCTCACTGCTGGCATTCATGTTATTTAGGATTTAAAAGGCTTCAGACTGTAAAGAGTATTTCTTAGAATCTTGCGTATAGCTCAGAAAGAGGGGGCAGGGTGAAGCTGCATGACAAGCCCACAGTCACTTCCCTGCTGTGTCATTCTCATTATCATACTATCAGGGATCTCACCCCCCATCCATGTTTACACCCACACCACACATTTTCAAACCTCCCATTACACCACCGCCATTTCCAGCCCCAATTACATTCTCTCTCTCTCTCTCTCTCTCTCTCTCTCTCTCTCTCTCGTCACATGTCCCTGTTCATGCCCCTTCTTATAGCAGGTCTTACGCTGCTTTTTCCTATACTAAACTAGTATTAGACTGGTATTAACATTAATGAGTCATTTATGATTCATTTAGAATAATGCTTTTTGTGAAAGAATGCTTTGTAATCATGGCAAATATTAGACTACTTTACATTGACTTATTTAATTGACATTTTTGTCCATTGTCATCTAATTCACAAATCATGGTCAGTCTCTGGGGTATTTGGGGGTTAATGGCGCCCAAAGGCTCAATGGTGGGACCACTCTGCCAACAAGGGGATCTGAACCAGCAACCTTCTGATCACAGGCATGGATCCCCTAGCCACAGAGCCACATAGCGCCTTTACACATTAAGTGCCCGATATGGCCAACAGTCAGTGTCCTTCCGGTTGAATTGTATCTGTCTTCTTACTCATTTCGTTACATTCATAATTTTTCCATGAAATGCTTTGAGGGTGTTTTTATGGACTGACTTCGCTACTTCATTCACAAATGCCACGACGGTAATAATGTATGAGTGCCATCTTAATGAAAAAGATCTTAATGCATGTGAATTTCCTGCTATAGAAAAAAACATCAAGAAGACAGTTCTTACAGAAAATATTTGCATTGTCAGCAGTCTGTGGGGGAGAAAAGAAAAGAAAAAAATATTACCCTGGCCAGTAGATAAAAAGTGATGACAAAGATATTTCCACCTAGGAACTATGTGGCATTATAGGAATTCAAGGACTATACAGTTACATTGAGGCAAATAGACATTTTTTTGATATCAAGATACCAAGCACTGTACACATGATAGATATCACTACCAGACACCACTGGCTTTCTCGTCTCACTTGGATCTACAGCACAAGGGACATTATGATGCCTTCATTGTCATTTTGGGGGCCATTTTCCAGGCCATGTCTGCAAAATGTGTCCCTTTGTGGTGCTGGATGGCAGAATGGATTACTCGGGCGAAAAGTTCAAAACCATCCTTAAGCGAGAACAGCGAACAACTGGGCATGGATGGATTTTTAACTAGGATAAATTTCACAAAAGAGACTGGGCATTCCCAGAAGTATCAACAGAGAGATGACCTACTCCACTGGCTGGCAGGGGTCAGGGGTTTGGAGGAAGCCTTGGAGGAGATAGTGAGGATTACAAAAGGCAAGAACTCTGAGCCAATTATCCGTGACCTTCTTTCTTCTGCAATGTGGATCCATTCTGTGCAAAGGGAGCTCTGCTGACCAGAATCCAACAGGATTCTTCTGAAGCAGGTCCTCCTGATGATCCAAGGGTTACTGCCTGGGTTTATAAGCCATGTGCTGTTGGTGCAGAAGGTGAGAGTACAGGTGGAGAGCTGGAGACAGCCCAGTAGTTGTGATGTCTGCCTTCCCATGCAGCAGGTTCTGCTTGGCCTTCTGCTCCATGAAAGGCTGAGGGGCACAGCAGGCAGGCTCTGAATCTGAGCGGCAAGCCCATCGCAGCTGTCCTGCAGGAGTTCTCTCTACAGCAGTGTGTTCCAACCTGGTCCTCGGAGACCTCCAGATGGTCCAAGTTTTAGTTCCTTCTAAACTTTATGCTAGACACTCCACATTCTTGGTCCATGGATGGCTTGGGGATCCCTGAGGACTGGGTTGGGAGACACTGCTCTACATAGTCTGAATGAGATAATCACCCCCCCCCCCCCATCCCACAGTTCTGACAATTAAGTACTCTGTTTTAAATGTTCAACATTACAAAAAGTATGGCCACTTGGAGTTATTTTAACCCCTTTTGTCTCCAGAAATGTCTGATGAGTTCTGCCTTCAGAGAAGCTATTACACTATCCTAGTTGTGCTGACTATGTTTGAGTTTTATTTTTGTACCTTTGGGCTTCTGTTAGTGTTAATGAGTCTGACGATTCCCCTCTGATCTCTCTCTGTTTTCAGCCACAAAACTGCCCCTGACTGAATAGTTTTTTTTTTGTTGTTGTTTATCATTATTCTCTACAAACTATAAACACTGTAGTGCATGAAAATCCTAGGAGGGTGGGGGGGGGCAGTACCCCCTCGTTTTTGCATTTCAGTTTATCTACCTCAATGTTGCACTCTCTTATTGAAATTCTCTAGTTTTGAATCATGTCTTTATTGTAGTGGTGGAAGTCTTATTTGCGTCTTGCTAAATGCGAACAGCAATCGTGTATGCAAATCAGAACAGAGACTCGGGGGGGGGGGGATCAATTCATTCCACAGGCCCGATGGTGATCAGTCCTTGAGGTGATGTGTAGGCATTGTCCGGCCTCCCACTTTAAAAGAGGGAGGTTTAGTTTGTATACAATGCAAACTACATTCATTGAGTGAACTTGTGATGTGGTGCTTGTGGTCTGCAAGCACATCTCCCAGTGTGCAGCTGTTATTCATGTAAATTATGTTGATATTTAAAATAATTTGTTAAAATCGCCCGGACAGCATGGCATTGCACCCCCTGCCAATGCATTAAGGGGTTATGGGCTAAATTGATACCTTTGCATTCTCTTCCGCTGTAATACAATTGTCCTACTAAGCCTGGGTGTAGCTGTGCAACTTTGTCAAAGTAAAATAAAAAACAAACACTGTCTTCACTGTACCGGCGTGTCTTGAGGTTTATCACTGGCAGCAGTATCGCGTCCCCTCTGTAAGTTCCGCTGCCCCTTTGCCAAGTGAGCACTGCTGCTGCATCTCAGGTGTCTGTTTCTGAGAAGCGGGATCCACCACGTTTAAAATCAGTTTGACCACCTCTCTTGGCTTTTTGCACGCTTAACCAAACAGTATGTGAACCTCTGGATCCTGCCTGCGTGCTGGTCTGCATTAATGGGCATGTACCTAATACAATGGACACTGAGTGTGTACAAGGGTCTTCCTGGTACTCTTCAAGCATTCAGCTTAACTTGGTAAAAGGCTCTAGCTTAGCCCCCCAGTGTTGGGGTTAATTTTCCTGTCAGGCACTAAGGCTTTATTGGTGCAATTTTTCCTGGACACCCTTTGGGGGTGAAGCACCCCATCCCCGGGATGGTCCAGCCCCGCCCCAGCCCTGCTGCTGGGGAGGGTTTGCAGGGTGCTGTACAGGCTGGCAGGACATCAGAGGGGTTGGAGGACCAGCAGAATAAGGTGTCCCATACCATGGGTTTATAGGTTTACATCACAGACTCAGGCATTGTGCATGAAAACTGACTTATAGCACCAAGGCACATCACCTCTGTGCCAGAACTGTAGGATTTCAGTTAGAATTTCATGGAAAGGAGCCGACTGGGGCAATTTCAGAATAAGACGGGTGTGTGTCAGTCCCATTTAAAACAGGACAAAATAATTACATTCAGTCTTATTTAGTGGCATCACATTACTGAAATATTTTAAATGTTTTTAAACTAAATTGTTTCTATACACTAAAATAAAATCAACTAAAAAAAAAACAAGTACATACTGTAATTCCATTTACTTTCTTGTAGCTACAATAGCAGACAAGCATAGAAAAACTGGCAATGACTTTTAAGTCACTGAAATTTGTCTAGGAGACTATTCACAATGCATCTAAGGGACATTCTCTTATTTAAACTACCAAAGCATCCGAAATGTAACTTGCCTTCCGCAAGTGTTGTTGAAATCCATTTTAATTCATTTCTGTCGCTCTCACCCTCCTGAGGGCCAAAAAACAATGGCCTCTCTTTTCACTTGTGTAACCAACCCAGTGGCATCAGAATGAGCTTTTCTGCACCACAATCAGAAACCAATACTGCCCCACAATGGCAAAACACAGCAACTGCACTGAAAATGAGAAAATTAGATTTTCTTGCTGTGAAGTTAGGATGCTGGTGCATGGGTTGGTGAAGGAGGTGGAGTCACTGAACGGTGACCAGCAGGGGGCAGCGATCTGAGTTCTGTGGGGAGCCACTTAGCCATAAAAAGGAGAGGTGGATGGGTGCAGAAGCCACACAAAGGGAAGGAGGACATGAGTGATGTATTCACAGTGCCGTCCAGCAAAGATGAAGAGGAGGAGGAGGAGGAGAAAGACGTCCTGGAACCTTGGAGCCCGTTAGTGTGAGAACACCACATGGCATACTTCGGTTACCATGACTTTATTTCCCTGTCGTAAAATTTATTCATCTGGTTGAGCTTTTATGAGCTGTGAGTTTTCTGACAACATATATCCAGCTCAAAAGAACAAAACAAATCGCTAAATTTTAACTAACATGCAACACACTGCGAGGAACCACAAAAGATAATCTTACAGCATATAGCCTGGGGCATGCGAGATAAATTATAATATTTATACTGTTTCATATAACTATTATGGGAAAATAATTATGAATTATATAAGAATTGTATCCATCTTTGCTTAAAAAAAAAAAAAAAAAAAACATTAAAGCTATACTGGCCCCTTCTGTGGGATCCTGTCTGACCAGTATGAATGTCCTGCACAGCTGTACTGGACTTTAAGCACAGCAGCTTGTTCTGTAAATCACTTTATTTCTTACATGTCCCCGTTCCAGAACAGTATGCTTGAAATATCAGTATTGGGCGTCTCGCTTCACCACCAATTCGTCTAACAAACTATTCATGGGAAAGGAACTCTGTTGTTATGTGAGGGGTGTCTGTATTCTATCACCATTAGTGTGTAATATTTCTAAATTTCTATTAAACCTGTAAGACCCGTTCAAATCAAAGAATGGTGACTCTGACCAGCCATACCAGATAAAGTCACAGAGAGAGGGGTGGGTGTATGTGCTGTCCTACCTTGTGTGTCTCCAGAAAAAGCACATGTTCTCTTGCCTTGGCTGCCCAAACAAATGCACCCCCACTCACCAAACCCAGGGAATCTTACAGTCATCCTTCACAAACAAGCTGCTCAGTTTAAAAGGTTTACAAAATTTTTAATGTACATTATTTTCCAGACTGTCACAACAGAGTACTGCTTTCAGCTGGGCAGACATAGATCAAGAAGCACTGTCCCCACCAATCACTGGTTTGTACCTTCTGTAAAAGCAAGATGGCGCTAGTGAGTCATCTCATCAGGGACACAGAAAATGGGGGGGGGGGGGGGAGAGAAATAATCACAAAAGGGAAGCTGTCTAACAAAAAAGGCCCTGGAGGGACTGCAGTTTAAGGCCAGGAGTTCAGGTGGTCTCCTCAGAAAGGAGGGGCTGAGCTTGTTTTACTGGCCAACAGAAGTCCAACATCTGGAAAGTGAGGAAATGCTTCCAGCAACTGTGCCAAAATGGACACTCAGAAACAAGTAAAATACAGTAGACTACTTCTCATAATATTGAGTGCAAATCGACATTATTGGGACATATAAATTATACAAATTGCTGCATATACTGTACAAAGTAATATGTACCTCCTGCATGGCAACTTGTTCTGATTGGAGGAGGGGGTGGGCTTGGAGTAAGGCTGTTGTGCGCACACATTTGGCTGGGCGTGTGTGTCTGGGGGTGAGGGGGGAGCTTCATAACAGCTATAACCGCTTTTAAGACCTAAATTTACCGACCACCCAATAAAATCATAATAAAATATCCAGCAACCCAACCAGCCTTTAACTTAAGTCTAAAGCCTGCTGGGTTCAACTGCCAAGCTCTTGCACCGAATTTCTAAGTGTCAGCCTTCCAGTGATGACTGTGGGTAAGAGAGGGGCGCTAAGCTGGGAAAGGTTACAGTACAGCGCCACATGTGGTCAGACCCAGCAACAGCAGCTGAGGTACAGTATTTGGCAAGAAGTAGTGACAAACGCTACTTAGCCACGAAACACAAATTGATAGTGGACACTTGTTTCTGAAAATCTGCATGTATACTGACTTCCACACACCATCTCAACTGTTCAATGACATAAGTCAGGACTAGAGGGGACTGTATTGTTCTAGCAAGCTGAGCTGGAATGCTTGAAGGTAACATGGTTTGTTCCACAAAAGCTGCATCAGCTAATGAAACCCACATTGAAAACAAATCCTAAAAAAAATAATAATAATAATAATAATAATAACCCCAAGATTGGACGAAAAAAAAACCTTCACCGCCCTCGGGTGCCGCAGGCCGTTGGGGAAGCCTGTGGGCAGCAGCAAACCAAAGGTCCGTAGGGGAGGTCAACCCCGCCACGTTCCTCAGACAGAACCTGGTATCACTCCAGACTGCCTAGAGTCAGACAACCCAACATTTTAAATGACAAACTGTAGGAAAAGCGGACGCTGTGTCATGCTCTCCCCTCTTCTGCTCTCCACAGGCAGCCCAGTCTCCACCGGCTCCTTGGTACCCGACACAATGTGCGTCATACTTCGTGGAACAAATCAGAAGTGTCAGTTTTCTCAGACCTTCTGCTCCAGATCTTCTCTATCTTCTTTATCACCTCGGAGATGACACAGACGGAGGAAGTCAGCCCGAAGAGGAGCAGAAGATCTGGCAGGAAAAGGGCACGGTAACAACACTGTCACACATTGCCATCTTACTGCAGTGGATGAATCTACTGGAGCAGGGTTTCTGAATGCTAACCAGACACCGCATGCCTGGGTCTGATCCTACACTTGTCTTTGACTGGACAAGAGATTAAGTGAATGGCACAAATCAACTGAACCAGTATTTTAGTTGCTCGATGGCAAGCTGTTAGCCTAGCTAACCTGGAGAGCTTATTTAACCCCAAGGCTTGATATAGACAGCAAAGTACCTCCTAGACATCAGTTTATGTTCAAAAGGGGATATTTAAAGTGAATACATGCAAGCGTCATGAGCATAAACAGCATAGTTGGACCAGAGAAAATGAGAGAGTGGCAACCAAAGACCCACCAAGGATGCTGAGGCTCTCGGTCTGGAAGACCTTCTGCAGAGGGGGGAAGTAGATGACCAGCAGCTGGCCCATGATGGAGCCCAGTACGGCATAGCAGAACGTCCTGTTGCTGCAGAGGCCCATCTCGTGCACCATCCGGGTCTGAGGATGGGTGTGGGGTGGGGTGGTTAGTGGGAAGCTCAGGTCCTCCAGAAACCAGCGTAACATTGTTTCGTGAGGACAGGAAGCTCTTTGTTGGAGGCCCTCAGCATCACCTAGCAGCTCGTGCCAAAACGAAGGAGTTCAGCGACCATACCTGCGATCTGGAGCTGAGGGCGTTGAACATATCAAAGAAAACGAAGCAGGTGAAGGTCATGGTGGTGTCCCTCGGGGTGATCACATTGTCACGCAGCTGCCAATGGCCAAACATGACATTACTGAAGGCACACTGATCCTGGGACTGCATCTACTGCTTCACTGTTACTCCGCTATTTACAGCATAATTAAATTCACCACAGGAACTCTCAGTACATCCTGTCACTGTTTGTCTTATTTGCATTAGCAGATATGCTAACTGAAGCGGACTTTCAAGGGGAATAAAAAAAAAAAAAGCAGTGTCACAGCAGATCAGTTCAGCGTGTTTCAGCCTAATGCAAACACTAAAACAAAGTGATCCGTGGGGAGATGTTTGCCTGAGGAATCTTTCGGAGGAAGGAGCAGAACTCATCCTTGACCTGGAAGATTGTTCTATGCTATTACACGCTCCAGGCAGCTGTTCATGATTCTGCCTGTTCAGCATTCAGCCATGATCTACATGTGATGTTTCATATCTGGAAGCTTCCAAGGACAAACAAAATGAATGTCTGGAGACATGAGAATGCAAGGAGCATGGGGTTGCGGGGGTCTCCACGCACCTCCCTCCAGAAGACGAATAGTGTGCCGCACACGATGATGAGGGCCGACACCAGGATCTTCACAATGAGGCCCCGAGTGAGGATACTGTCTTTGACGTTCCTGGGGGGCTTCCGGATAATATCTCGATCCACGGGCTCCACGCCGAGGCTGTAAGAAGGGGGGCGGTGAGGCTGGGGAGATACACAGGGACGTGCACTTCCCCAGAAGTCTGACTCACGCTCACCTCTGCGCTGGAGGTCCGTCCATTATGATGTTTATCCACAGGATCTGCATGGCGTTCAGGGGGTTTGGGAAGTTCATCAGTGTTGCCAAAGAGATGAGCGCCAGTGCTGCGATGCTCCTGCAAGGGAAACAAACCACTGCATTTTGTACGCCTGCAAATGGTGCAGTTCGGCTGGCAGTGAGCAGAGAACGCAGGGCGCTCACGTGCTGAGCTGGAAGCGGACAAAGTTCTTGATGTTGTTGTAAATGCCTTTCCCTTCTTCTATGGCAGACCTGCAGGACAAAAGTGCAGCAATCAGATTTTGGAAGCCATGCAAGAAAACGGATGTCCTTCTGACACCGTCCCTTTGAAATATCCATATCTGCTGACTACTGAACTTTCTCAAGACTCTAAGCCCCAAATTTTAGCCCAGCCCACCTCATTCAGGCCCCATAAATGAACATATCTGAAAATGCACAGAGAGGCATTCACAGGGAACTGGCCCTCTGCGCCCGCTTCAGTTCAGTTCAGTTTAGTTTATTTGTCATATGCAAGTTAGCACAGGGTCAACATCGCAATGAAATGTGATTGACGAGAATAAACAAGTCTCTTACATGATGGTCTGGAAGTCGTCGTCCACCAGGATCATGTCTGCAGCCTCCTTGCAGACGTCGGTGCCCGTCTTGCCCATGGCCACGCCGATGTCAGCGGCCTTGAGCGCTACGGCGTCGTTTACCCCATCGCCGGTCATGGCCACCACCGCGCCGACGTTCTGCAGGGCCTGAGACACAAACACAAGCATATTCTCGGGACTGAAACAAATACCACCATTACGGCACAAAAATGTCGGATGTTTGGGAACTGAATTCTAATTGCTATTTCCTTGCATATCTATTTGGATTTGTACACACTGCACAATTTGCAAACATTGATTCACAAACTGTACTGTACTGATCTGTGCTATTGCTCACTTAAATGTATTTTACTTCTGTTTTTGATTTTTTTTCTTAATTTATGTTCTGTGATATCTTCGAATGTCTGCACCAGTACTGCCACGACAGATCCCTAGTACAGGCAGGGGTACCTGGCCAATAAAGTGAATTCCGAATTCCTCATCGCTGTCTCAGGGAAGACAAGGAAAATCGATGACCTTCAAATTATTGTTAAAGATCGAATAGATGATGGCAAAATGCTCTAAGGAAATCAGTGTAACCTTCTTAGAAAGAGGAGCCCTGAACCCAGGCAGAGCCACCAGCCTGTGGGGATGGGGGGGGGGGAGCACTGCCGGCTGCTCACAGGCTCACCTTAACGATCTTCAGCTTGTGCCTGGGGCTGGCCCTGTAGAACACCGAGATCTGTGGGAACACATGCACAGGTCATGACCGCCCCTGTCCGCTAAGCTTCTCACGACTGTGGTTTGGTTTAATGTCGCTTAACAGAGTAACGTCGCAACGGCAGAATTGTGGCCTGTACCCTGGGCACAATGAGGGACAGCTGCTGGGACTCCATCTGGTCCACCTCGTCCCCAGAGAGGGACTGAGAGCCCTTGGTGTACAGGCAAAGTCGGCTGGCTGAGGGGTGAGAGGGAATATTCGGAAATCAGGTCTCCAGCATATACCAGCATCACGACATTCGCACATTCCACCACGTAAGCTGGCACCGCTGTGCTACTGTGCTCAAGTTGCCACGACAACAGAGCAGGGCAAAAACCAAAAAAAACAAAAACCAAATGGCAGCACAGTGGTGGAGCTGTACGTACAGCGATGGCTGGGCAGAGGGGCACCTACCGATGGAGACGGCGGTTTCCTGGGAATCTCCCGTGATCATCTTGACGGCCACACCCGAGCCGATCAGCGTTGCCACGGCCTCCTTCACTCCTTCCCTGGGGGGGTCGATGATGCCCACCAGGCCCAGGAATGTGAGCGAACCCATCTCAGAACCGGACGCAAAGGCCAGAACTGGAGGCGAGAGCAGAGACCACAGGCGCCATTAACCAGAGAGCATTCTGCTCATTAGGGACATCATTCAAGAGCCTTTCTGGGAAGGTCTGGTCTCATAGGCGAAGCTAAATCAGTATGAAGAAGAAAAAACAACACAACACAGCTAGTGCAGATGATTATTACATCACCAGTTTCATTCGATCTCTGAAGTGATGCAGCTGATCAGTGACCCCAGGCTCCGGCGGGAGGTACGGCTCTCATCGCAGCCCCTTGGCACACAGGGCACGCCTACCTCTCAGCCCAGCTGTGCCCATGTAGCTCTTCTGCTGCTGGTAAAGATCCCTCTCCTGGTTGGTGAGGGGCGCTGTCGTGCCCTTGCTGTTGTAGGCGGTGCAGTAGCGGATGATCTGCTCGTAGGCCCCTTTCAGGTAATACACTCCCCGTTTGTCCTGGAGAGGAACCGCAACATGACTTCGGATCAAACTGCAACACTAAAAAATCCTGAACACCGGCATTCATGCATCCGCCCACACTTTGGCCACTCATCCCGCTCAGGGTCAGGGGGTCAACAGGAAGTTGCATAACAGAAGATGGGTGAAAATGGGGATGACTTAAGCCAAAATAATAATGATAATAATAATAACTCCATTGCACCCGACATCCCGCTCCTGCACTGACTATATGAGTGGCAGCATGAGCAGCTGTACAAGCCGGCACAGAAATACCACGCATGTGAGCAGTTCCCACCTGTCCCGTGTGGTGCACACAGCGTACGGCCATCCATTTCTGCTCCGAGGTGAAGGGGAGCTCCTCTAGACGGATGTACTCCTGCTGGACGCCATCCAGTCCCATCTGTGGTACGTTTACATTCGGACACAGACACAGGCCAATTGGTGGGTGGACAGTGTTTCCCCTACCATTATATTAGGGGGGGGGCACCGCCCCCCCAACGGCACCTCCCACCCACCCCTGAAGGTCAAGTTAATTTTATTTTCTATATAGCGCCAGATCACAACAGAAGTCATTTAAGGTTACCTTTCCTATAGAACAGGTCTATACATTGTCCTATTATTAAATAAACGAAATAGCCTTATGTTTACAATTCTCCTCTGCTCTCTGTATCGCGCATGGCGGAGTTCCGCCCCGATGCGTGCACACAGACACGTGCGCGCGCACACACACAGGTGAGCACACTCCCACTAACGGACAGAGGGCGCTTGTCGGAAAATATGTCGCGTCAACCACCCGGTCAGCAGTGTAAACTGTGAGAGGGATTTCTCAACCATGAACAGGGTAAAAAATATGTTTCACAATGGGATTTTCTGCGTTAAACTATCAGTATTTTAAGTTATCAACTATTACTTTTAAAGCCTAACAGTTAATGTATTTGCAGGTCAAGACAAACATCAGCAACAGGCTGCAAGGAGACCATCTTGCAGCCTGCATGCGGATTTCAATTAATGGCCCAGATGTTTCTGACTTCCCATAATCAAGAGGCTCTAGAAATGTTCTTCCAGAAGCCCAGAAAGATACACTGCAGTGACAAAAGCTGCACACACTTTGTGGATAACTGTCAAATCGTTCTGATGTTTAGTTCAGTTGTTATATTGACTGCTGTCATTAAAAGAAACACATGAACACCATGAATCCTATCGGTGTCCATCTGCCCCCCCCCAAGCTGTAAACCTAGGGCATGGAGAACCACCAGATGCATCCTCTCTTACTGAGTATCTACTGTCTTTCTCCAGAGATTGCACACAGTCCCGTTTTCATCGACAAAAGGCGGTGACATATTACACCTAAACAGGAATGTAGACTGATAACGGCCTCCAGCACCCATGCATGATACCTTCATAGCCAGGGCGATGAGCGCGCCCTCTGTAGGCTTCCCCATCAGGGTGCCGTTCCTGATGATGGCATCGTTGCAGATGCAGCCCGCCTAGATAGACATGAGGGGAGGAAGTGTGAGAAGAGGGCTGTGACAGAGACGGACATGGGGCTGTAAACGTCCCCATCCCCATCCTTACCTCTACCACTTTATTGATGGATGTGTTGGAGAAGCCATGGACCACCTCACCATCCAGCAGGACCTCACCAGCGCCGTTGTACCCAACGCCTGTGACCTGCAGGGGTTAGAGGTGTAGGTACAACTGACTGACAACCAGTCACCCAGGAATCCGCTTTGCAATCAAACACACACCCAACAAAACCGACATCGACCAAGAGACGCGTCATCATACCAAGTAATGGTTGTGGTCAGGCGTCTGGGGCTTCCTACCTCAGCATGGAGACTGTCTGATGTGAAAAGGTGGGTGACTGTCATCTCATTCTTTGTGAGCGTGCCGGTCTTGTCGGAGCAGATGACATTGCAACAGCCTGAGCAGATGGGAGACGTGTGAGAGGACTGAAGCTGAAACTTTACCAAAAAGCCAAAGAGAACTTATCTACCAATAAGTCGTGGCAAATAAGTTGATGGTGTTACCAAGAATTCTGCCAACAGACACAAAGCGATGCTGACAAATCACTTGCTTATGCTCAGTATCGTCTCTATGGAATCCAAAAGATTCCAGTATAACAGAAGATGAATGTCTCACGGGGACCAGTTCTTCAGGTCCCTCCTCCTCACTCATTTGTTACGTTTCTTATAAACATGCCACACTCTGTGAATGGGTCCAGCAGCAAGGATGAGAAAGATGATTGGATCGGAGAGTGCATGCAGGGCGGAGAGTGCATGCAGGGCGGAGTGTGCATGCAGGGCGGAGTGTGCATGCAGGGCGGAGTGTGCATGCAGGGCGGAGTGTGCATGCAGGGGGGAGAGTGCATGCAGGGGGGAGAGAGCATGCAGGGGGGAGAG